CCTTGAGGTACGTAGAAAAAACATTTAAAGCTGTATCTATGTCTGAAACTCTGAATTTTTCCGAATCTCTCCGAATCAATTCAGAGGGTTCTGATTCTATTCGGAGAGATTAAAGGGTCTCCTGATTCTATTCGGATTTGGAGATTCGGCCTCCAAATTGGGCTGAATCTCTGCCTAATTGAATCGGCAACTGAAGCTTTGCACAGCCCTACTAAACATCCTTGTAGCCCCTTACTGTACCTGTTCCAGCTTGAATTAATCTTTTTGGGGTGTTTAAGAACCCAACTGTAAGCACTGTTAAATCTGAGTTTCATTTTTGTGGTTAACAGTTAGTAGCCTCCCACTTCTACTTGGTGCTACCGAGATTGGTATTTCAGTATTGGATTAAATGAAGTGATGATCATTGCAGCATCAGGGGAAGATCAGAGGCTGCATTTTATTATCCCACCATGCTTCCATTCCTGTTTTCACGAGGGAGAAGCTAGGAACAACATGTTTCAAGTCTGATTTTAAACTGTCAGCCACATACTATAGGGAAGTGAGGTTTAAAGCATAAGTGTTAATTGAAGGGAAAATTGCACCTCTGTATTAATAACTGAAACACCTAAGTATAGTAAATATAGTTCTTGGCTCTAACAGGATTTTTATACTGTCTTTCTCCATCCAGATATTGACACGACAGATATTCAAAAGAGAAAATTGGCTGAGGCAATTCTAGCTGGAGACACAGGCAAGCTAATGAAGATTCTCCAGCCTCAAGATGTTGATCTTGTTTTAGATGGAAACTCTAGCCTCTTGCACTTGGCTGTTGAGGCAGGTCAAGAAGAGTGTGTCAAGTGGCTGCTCCTTTATAATGCTAACCCTAATCTCACCAATAAGAAAGGGTCTACCCCCCTGCACGTGGCTATAGAGAAGAAGGTTCGAAGCATCGTGGAGCTTATTCTGGCAAGGAAAATCAATGTGAATGCCAAAGATGAGGATCAGTGGACAGCTCTTCACTTTGCAGCACAGAACGGGGATGACTTCAGCACCAGAATGCTGCTTGATAAGAATGCCCTGCCGAATGAAGTAGATTTTGAAGGCAGAGCCCCCATTCACATAGCCTGCCAGCACGGCCAAGAAAACATAGTGCGTATCCTCTTGAGAAGAGGTGTGAATGTAGATATCATGGGAAAGGATGGCTGGTTGCCATTGCACTATGCTGCTTGGCAAGGTCATCTCTCCATTGTCAAGCTTTTGGCAAAACATTCAGATGCAGACGTGAATGCACAGACAGTGAACGGAAGGACTCCTCTGCACCTGGCAGCTCAAAGAGGGCACTACAGAGTGGCCCGCATTCTTATCGAACTGCAGTCAGATGTTAACATCCAGAACATGCTTCTGCAAACTGCTCTCCATGTAGCTGCTGAAACGGGCCATACCAGCACTTCCAGGCTGCTTCTCAATCGTGGTGCAGAAATTGAGGCTGTTACAGCAGAAGGATATACTGCATTTCATTTAGCAGCCCGCAGTGGACATCTAGCCACAACTAGACTGCTGATAGATGAAAAGGCTAATGTTCTGGCCAAAGGCCCTGCAAACAGAGCAGCACTACACCTTGCTGCTGAAAATGGACACTCTGAAGTAGTAGAGGAGCTTGTCAGCTTAGGAAACATAAATGATTCTGATGAAGAAGGGTTGACAGCGCTTCACCTGGCAGCAAGAGGTGGGCATGCGAAAACAGTTGAGATCCTACTAAAACATGGGGCCCTTGTTGATGTGCAGTGCCTCCAGTTTCAGACTGTACTGCAGCTGGCTAAGCAAAGTGGGAATAGCTCAACTGTCATGTTGCTAAGTGAGACTTAAAATAGCAAATTCTGTATCTTTACCTTTCTACTAAGTGTTGGGAGGCTGCTGAACTTTGGAGATTGTCCTGGAATTTGTACAGTAAGCTGCTTGCCTGCAAAATCTGCAGATGAACTTTAATTCCAGCAATTTAAAAGTTACCTTTTACAAAAGGTACCGTGCCTAATCTCGGACTGGGTGCAGGAGCAAGCGCCAGGGACTCCTGAATAGCAGTATCAAGTCTGCCACTCTGGTTTTCGGCAGTCTTTTTGTGTGTCTTTCCATCTTGATAATGGATATAAATACATTTAACTTGCCTCCCAGGCATGTTGTAAAATTCGACAGCATTTAAGTGGTACCTGAATCTTTCAGTATGCTATATCAAGTTTTTAAGTGTTGTTCTGCCTTCTGATCTCTTCAGATGCAGTGGGACAAACATCTTGTTTCAGACTACTGGGATTACACCCTTTTTAAAGCCTCTGTGGTAAGAAGTTGTCTAAAAACCTAATGTTCAGTTTAAAATGAGCACTGTTGAAGAAGGCGGCTTATTAAGAAGTTTTTTTTTTTAGGAAAGATGCGTTCGATCCTGGAACAGATGCATTTGATCCTGGAGTCTATGCTTAAGTGTCATTTCACTTTCAGAATGTGCAAAATGGACTATATGGGAATACTGTACTGTTCATTCTTCTATACAGAAATATTGATTACAAGACCACACATTTCCATGTACTGAGCAGTACCAAGAAACTATCCTTAGCTAGGTCATAGGCTGTAAGAACTGAAACAAATCCTAATTTTGTCTCGAGGGAGTGAAGCATGTGAAAATACAAATTTATATGCCATACCAATGTGTATAATGCAAGATTAGCCATATGACTTGGTACCTGTAAATGGTTTTAATGTGAAAATGGCATAGGTTTGAATAGTTCATTATTAATTTTTCTTTGCAATAATCAAATGTTATATTCTGATAACATTATGGAACGTTTTCAAAGCAGTTTGTTTAGATGGCATGTGTTTTATAGAACCACATGTACAGTGCCACAGTACATATCCTAAATGAACGAACTGTGTGATTGATATAATATACTGTGTATATAGTTTTTTCTATCTGTTGCTCACATTTTTCTACTAAAGAAAATAGACTTTAGAGCTGGGTATGTTTTAATATTCACTCTTTTCTCAAAGTTCATATGTGATCTGTTATCAATAAAATAATTGTTGTATATACCTGCTGTAAGTATGGTTGTATGCACGGGATATTTTTTTCACTACAGCATAAGTAGAAAAAGGTACTCTGTGCAGTAAGGCAAGTCCTTGTAGGACTAGGTGCAAAAGAGTTGTGTTTGTAACATTTAAATGTGCTGCCTGCATAGTGGAATCTACAACCAGGGTTAAGTGGCTTGACTTGCCTGTACAACACATGAACAGTTAGATGGCTTTGAAAGGGATTAGCAGAAGGCAGCATACTGATTGGAAAACTGCTTAAACTAGCCTGTAGGCAAGACTGATGCTCAAATCTTGTTCATCAGAGGGTCCTGATCATTATGGGTGCTGACAAAAGTGATATTTTGTCTTGTGATTGTCCCCCTGAAAGCACTCTACAGCCATGCCCTGACAGAAGCACACAGATGTAGTAGAGTGCTTTAAAAGTGCCCTATTGCATGACGAACAAACCCTCATTACCCGAGGGTTCAAGTGAAGGCGCTTCAAAAATGGAGCACCTTCATTTAACTTCTGTTAGTTTGTGCCAGGAGCATCAGCCCAGCCCCTGGTGCTGTCTTCAGAGTATGAGGGAAGGGAAGGGAGGGAGCTTGGTCCAGGGTTTGCCCAGCCCATGCTGGAGGTGGGAGCAGGTAGACTGGGGATCCCACACAGCTGTGAGGTGGCTGAGCTCCAGTGCAGGCTGAGTTGGGGTGGTGGGGATCTGTTGGGTTACGGGGGGGGGGGGGGGTGGGGGGTGTGTGGGGGGGGGGGGGGGGGGGGTGTTGCTGTAACTCATGGTGCTTCCTTTGAAGCACCATGCATTACAATGGCAGCTGCACATCTGTCAGTGCCCTGTGCCTCTTGGATGTGGTGACAATGTGCATTGTTACACGTAAAACTTAAGCATGTTTTGTCAATTGTACTTTGCAATTTTTATAATGTTCCCTCCTTCTAGTTTGACATGAAATGGGAGGAGGGTTTTATTTCAAAAAGAAAAGTTGAAATACTTATTTAGCAACAGAGGGCCCAGGAGATGCACATCACCTTTTCCTAACACAAGGGCAATGTGTGAATAATTAAGGTTGTCATCACGTAGGGAAATGCCTGGCTTTTAAATCCTGTTGTGTTTAGGCATAAGCTAACTAGAGCAGAATAGCAACATCAGCAAAAGCTTTACCAGCTCATCTAACTCCATTTTACTCCAATTCTCAATACTGATGCACCCACTGATATGTTGTTCTGTATCTTCCCAATATGGTCCCATAATTATATGTAGTTTCTTCATGAAAACTCAGCTTGACCCTAAACCATGACCGGTACACTGTCCAAGTACTACACCTTTTGAAATTATATTATTATGTTTTGTTCAAGCTCACCTTTTCCCTAAAGTCTGAATTTTGAATTTGAATTCAAGCTAAAAGCATTGAAAGATTAAATACTGACCTACTCTGTAATCTAGGACCTACCAGTAACATAACTGTATATTGCAGTTGGCAAAGAGCTTTCCTTTGGAAATAGTCTTATTTTAATGCCTTCTGCAGTCTGCTCCTAACCTATATTCCCCTCCTACCCCCACTTTTCACTGAAAAGGAAAAGAATGGTCTGTAAGCCTTCTCCATCTGAGCTATATAGCACAAAAAGCTTGGAAGACTCCACCTGAGACTGGTAAATGCCAGATGTACTGTGCTGGAGTGAAAAGTACGCTGATTAAAATCGAGCACCACCTTGTCAGTACATTCCTTCAGACCACATTAATGCAAATGTATCAGCTTCTCATTTAACATAAAGCTACATACTCATAAATTTGTTTTCTGTGTAGTCTTTCATAATAAGGTGCATCAGCTAAATGGAGACGGAGATAAGTCAGGCATTGTGAAGTCATGATAAGTTTAGGCGGGATTACTGTAGACACTATGTCATCCAGTAGGAGACTGTACTCTGTGACCCAGGAGATCCCTTCTAGTTTTATATGGTAGCAGGGGCTTAATCATGAAAAATTTAATTTTCCAGACTATGTATAAAGGCCACTGTTTTTGCTTGGATCAGTTGCTCCTTTCCTTGTTCCCTGATGTACCAGATCAGTTCTGTGGAAGGTATTCTCTGACCTAGCTGTAAGAGCTTGATTTACATGGCTAATAAGCTTCTGTGTATACTTATGCCATGGAAGCCAAGACTATGATGACTAGTGATTTGCAGTGTTGCTAATGACATAACAGAGACACTATTATTTGTGAAACTGCAGCACTTACATTCTGAAAACAGATTGGATCCCTTATGGAGTGTCAAGTTAAGCATATGCAATCAATAGTCCCTCTTTAAAATCTTGGGCCCAAGATTTTAAAACTTCTAAAAAGAAAGGGAAAAAAGGAGGAGGAAAAAAAGAAAATAAAAAAAGTTAATCAATCCAAGTTATCCCAGTATCACTACTAGGTCTCTTCAACAAAAGAAAAATGTACTGATTTGATATAAACCACTTTGTAAACCAGTGCTAAAAGCTACTGGGCATTTGTTTGGCATTTTAAGATGGACCCTTTTTTGTTTAGCCTAAAATTAAAATAGATTAAATTTAGGCTTGTACCCTTGTGCCTCAGCCAGCCCCTTCGCAGCACATTGAGCCAGGTTGGAGCAGCCCCAGGCTGGCAAGCTGAACCCCCAGGCACCCTGTTAGCTGGGACTAATCCAACCTGGCCCAGCATGCTGTGGTCCCAGGTGCATGTGTAAGTGTGGGACCAGGGAGCAATAAACTCTGCTGTGATATGTGCCAGAGCAGAGGAGCCAAGTACATGGGGGGGGGCTGGCCCCGGCCCCCCTTGGCAAGAGGGCTGTCACCTGAAATGTGTAAAACTTTTTCCACGTGTCCATCATATTGGGGTCCCTCCCTGGGCAAAAATAAGTCGGCACCTATGTGCTGGAGTTTATCGCATCCCATTCATTTCATGTGTGGATGTGCTCACCATAGCTTAGTTTGATTAGGAAGTGTCCAGGCAGCTTTTGCAATGGTTTACCTACATCATTTTAAAGACCAGCCCTGAGTTAAAATGGGTGCTATTTTGTTTCTTGTAACTTTCCAAAGTAGGGGATCTGCCTATTGCAGCCCCCTGCCTCAAAAAAAAAAAAAAAAAAAAAAAAAAAAAGTGCCTGGAAAAATAGAGCTTGGCACACAAATTTGATATTCAGTACCTTGGGCTTTGTAGAACTAAGCAATGCCTGAGGGCCCTCTGCTCAGGATACCTTTCCTTCAGCTAAACAGTCCATGGAAAAGTCTGTCTGATTAGGAGTTTATGCTCAAAATGCAACGTCTCCCATTCAGGAAAAGAAAGTGGTGTAATGGCAAAGCATAGTCCTTCTCATTGGTTTTGTATTCTCAAGCTGGAGCCTCACAGGAGCCTCCAAAATTTGAAGGAGTAGAAGGAAAAAAAAATATAACTCATCTCATTACCAGGGATCCTGGTTTTCTCTGAGTCTGTCTGATTAGGAGTTTATGCTCAAAATGCAACGTCTCCCATTCAGGAAAAGAAAGTGGTGTAATGGCAAAGCATAGTCCTTCTCATTGGTTTTGTATTCTCAAGCTGGAGCCTCACAGGAGCCTCCAAAATTTGAAGGAGTAGAAGGAAAAAAAAATATAACTCATCTCATTACCAGGGATCCTGGTTTTCTCTGATTTAAATGTCTCAGGCAGCCAGAGCCGACCAGAGGATCGCTAATTTAATCGGACGTCAGGCGGGCCAGCGATGGAGAGGCGAGACAGCTTATTGGTTTTAAAAGATTGCTTTTACTTACGCTGTGTGGAATGGCAACGCAGGCCTCGAGGTGGCTTGCTTGCGTTGTCACAGATAGCAAAACAAGTTACGAGTTAACGAATTTATGAATGAAAAAGAACCTGCAGGATAACAGGGGTACATCAGGAGGACCCAGTGACGGGGAGATATTGGTGGGTGATCAGTCCGCCAAGTTTCCTCAATCGCGCTACAGAGTTCTCCGTAGTTACTCTGCCGCGTGCTCAGAGGTCTCCGACTTGGGCGGAAGCTGCATGAACTTTTATATGTCCGGAGTGGCCAATAACGGACTGCTAGGTAGGAATAACTAATGAGGCGGAACGTGACCAAATTTGAAAGTAACTGCGGTTATTCAGGGCAGTTCTATTGTGACAGGGGCACTCAACTCATTTGGTTATGACAGTTTGGTCCACTGGGGTAATGGTGAAGTGAAGCACATGATCTATAGCTCTCAATGAGGCACTGTGGCGGCTCATGTAGACAGAGAGATGAATGTTGACCCAACCTAAAACACTAAGCAAAACCCACTGCCTCCTAGGAATGAATGTAAATAGAATGTAAATAATTGGTTGCCACTGCTCCTCGCCGCCTCCGCCTCTCCAGCCCCAACTGCCAGTCCAGACCCGTGCTCCTGCTGCCCTGCCCTGGGCCCTGCTGGCCCGGGCCCTGTGCTCATGTTCCCCCACCCCCCTGCTTCTTACCACTGCTGCCTCTC